AGAGCGGTATGCTTTGGCGATATTTCTTAACTACAGAAAGGATGGTAACTTTGGACTCAGGGAACTTGGCTTGAAGAACTTGACAGGTAAGTGAAACTCGCAAATGTTATGGAATAGTTGAAAGAAAAAAATGAGCTTGTTGAATACTTGTCCTAGTGCCCTCAGTCACTTGCCTTCTGCAAATAACAGAGGTGCCACGGGAGGCTGGAAGTTGTACACTGTTTGAGAGGCTTGTCAGGAGCTCATTTCGTTCCCTTTTTGGTTCACAACTGTACTTTTCTCAGTACCGATCAAAGGCTGTGTATGGAAGTTATGCCCAGAGCGTATTCAAAACAAAAATAGTTGTTGAAAAAGTAGATGAGCCTTTTTCTTAGTTTTGAGAACATGAGCATGTTGGTTTCCTAGTGATCCTCAGTTATTGCATGTGTGTAGCTCTAGGTGTTGTGTGTTTTCTGCCAAGCTAGCTTAGCTTTAGTGTCCCCTCTGCCTCTGCTCTTGCTGCTGACTGTGTCACCATTGTTCTGGCACTGGGGAGTGGGAGGAGAGGAAGGGGATGGGAGGAGGAGACTGTATTTTTGGTGTGTTTAATTTTAGAACTCCCTTTTCTAAGCAGAAATAGTGTATTATATGTAGTGAGAGAAGTGCTTATTTTCTTGAGACAAAAATTTAAGTCAAGTCCACGGTTTTATGTTACTCTGTAAATTCAGGGCTGGATCATGATGTGGGGTAGATCAACATTTCATTTCTCCCAGCTGAGGATCTACAGTCAGTGGTTTGGGAGATTAGAAATAGGCTAAATATCACTGGACTGTAACTTAATAAAGTGCAGGCATTGGCAGACTCATTTTAGGGAGGTCATGGGAAGTATTTTATTTATACCTGGTTCCTCATCAGCTGTGATCATTTCTACCCTAACCTTTGGTAATTGTAGAATGGCCTTATTTCTGCTAGTGGCTAAATGCTGACTGAAAATCACTGACCTGAGCTGGATGTGGCGTTTGAGCTTGTGTACAGAGAGGTGGGAGCCTTCTGAACTATATTTAGGCACCCTTCACTCTCTGCTTTTTTCGTGTTGCAGTATTCAGAGCAGCACGCAAGTGCTTAGAGTTCCCTGTTCAAGCCTCACGGGACTGTACCGCTAACCTTTCGAAAACAGGAGGGAAAAGGCAGCTTGAAATATTTTACAAAATGAAACGGTTTTGGCTGAGTTTTTCAGATCAGGCTCTTTCTTCTGGTCATATTTTTAACAGTTTTCTTTACTGAGACTATCATGCTGATATCAGAGTGCTTTCCAAGGTCTCTAAATCCCTGCTATCTACTACTCTCTATCACTGTCATAATCCAATTTCCTCCTCTTCTGTTCCCACATTTCTTACCATCTTTCTGATTTAGGGTTTTCACTGTGAATGTCTATGCCCTTACATAATACAGAGCCACAGCATCACATAATAATAGTATTTCTGTTTCTTTGTATACTTTTTTCTTGGCTTGTGGGTCTCAAAATGCTTTGTAAAAGACATTAGTCGGGGTGAAACTGAGGCAGAGAGGTGATGTGAGGCCAAGGCCAGAGAAGGACTGGAAACCCTTTCCTCTGAGCCTTAGGCTGTTGTTCTGCCAGGAAATGAGGGTTGTATTTTCAGTGCTTGTTTAACCATGGCTTTGTCGCTCAGTAAGGTAAAGAAACGTTGTCTTGTAGGCTCTGGCTCAAGATTTTGTTCTTGGACCAGGCTGTCCTGCGCCATTAGGCAGTTCGTCTGACTCCAGACATTCTCTCCAGAAGCCACTTTTATGTGACAGGCACGGCACCAAAACTGCCCAGCAAATAGCTGGACTTTCTTTTCAAGTGTCGTAAGAAAACCTGCCTTACCTCAGCCTCTGGATCTTTCCCAACACGAGATCATCACAGCCACTTCATCTGATTTAGGTGTTTACAAAGCTCTCTGATGGGATTATTTGGCTCAAAATGTACTGTTGTCCCTGGGAAGAAAAGTGCCCTAATAACACTAGCTTGTCTCCACTGAGCGCTTAAAATAGCTTCTGGGTGCCGAATATGAGCCAGCTCATGCTTCAAAATACTCCTAATATTTTCTAGATAGGATGTGCTAGGGCCTCCTGAGTCTCTTCAGCAGCTGTTCTTTGACCATTTTGTGTATTGGTTAAGAGGCACCTGGCTGTTTTAACCCACAACTTGCTTCTTGTTGCAAATGCTCTCCCTGGAGCGTATTAATACTTACTTTATTTTCCTAACACATCCTTAGCTTTAGTAGCAGCATAAAAAATAACTGGTGGACATGAGAGTCGGTGATGTTGCAAGGCTGCGATAGATCAGCTGTGTCTAAATCTATCCTGTGTCTACAAACTGCTCCATATTTACATCAGAAACGACGAGTGATTTGTTACTAAATTTAAAATGAAGCAGCCCCTGTGAGCTTGCATCCTTGAAGCTTCTAGTCCACTGCAGATTTCAAGAGATTGGCTTTGAATGGTGCATCTCTTCCACTTGAGTAAAATATAAACATAACTCCTGCCTTGCATGTGCAGAACTGTCTTTCCAGGGCTTATGCCTTGTTCACAGAAGTTTGGGAAGTTCTGTTCTTATTTGTGCAGTGTCTGGATGATAGCATCCTGAGGGTATTTCTGCCCAGTACTGCACAATATACAAATATAAACTCTACTCACTGTGTTAAATAAATGAGGAAGCTGCTCTCACCTGCAGGTTATCCTCAGACTTAACCAGATGCAGGGTTTCAGCCCCCTGTGCAGTACCATTGCATTATTTTTCAGTGTGTTGTTAACAGCTGTGTTTTTTATTGCCAGATAGTCTATCAGGTTTTTCTATTTAAACGTAACTTTAAATGCTTGAATTTCTTCCCTTACACTATAAAAAGATGACAGCTATGAAGGCAGTAAGTTTTATCTCACACAGGCAACATGATTCAGTTCTCACTCATGATGTCTGTCAAACCCTAAGGGAGTTTTGTTTGTGTAGCGCAGGCCGGGACCATGTCCTAAAATTCAGGTGACACTTGCAAAAAATCTTACCTGTAAAAATCCTTTTCTCACTTGTTATAAAAACTTAGTCAGTGGTTCCACAGAAGTGTTAAAAACAGACATTGAACTAATGAAGTGGCTGCTGCCGTCTCAGCTGGACTCATCTCAGCCTGCAGATGCAGCTGCCAAGTAGCCTTAAAGTCAAAAGGAAGGTTTGACATACTGAACATGTTACTCAGCCTGAGATGAGCAGAATAACCGATGCTGAGGGAGAAGGTAAGCTGCTTTCGTCCATTCATTGCCTGTGCGCCAGTGCAAATCATTCTTGTCTTCCCCAGGTATGTAGGCAGTCAACCTTAACTTACCCAATGAAAGGGCATCATCATTGTTCGCACCTTGAGTGCTCCGTAGATAGAGAGAATACCTGATGGCTGCATTTCATTACGGTATTTATCTTCATGAGTGGGGAAAGAGGGATAACTCACAAGTGTCAAAACCGCTTATGAAGTATCCCATATTTTCCTCTGAGTGAAGGTGAATAAGAGAGGTCTACAGCGAATGATGTATCTTTGAGCAGTGATAACCTCATCTCCCCTATTGGCTTTGGGGGCAGAGGCTCCCCTGCGTGTGCCTGTGCAACCCTTGAATTCCTTTAATATATTAGAGTAAAATGGACTTTAGTTCAGTAACACAAAAAAGGAGCAAAATCTGTAGCTTCTTGTTTGCATAAATGATAAATTAAGGTTCAAATGACAAATTGCACATTGTGTCTGAAAGGATTCGGTCAGTGATAGCCAAAGGAAGGAAATCTAATTTGATGGGCGGGAGAATCATAGGGAAAGGACCACCTTCACTGGGTATGGAAAGTGTTCCATTGTAAATTTCCCCTTCTACGCATTTTTGTAATAGTTTTTTAAAAACAATTTTGGTTAAATGAATTTTTAATTGTTCTGTAAAACAAAATTTTAAAGTTCTATGATAATTTCTATAACATTTTCAGTAGCTTTTTTTACCCCCACAAGAAATTGAAAATGCTAAGGGTTGCTTTAGAGAGGGAAGAAAACTAATGACATCGCTTTGACATCTGAATGACATCTGAAAAATGTTGCTTTTCAACAAAGTTCTTGGTTTTCTTTGCCAAGGACTGCTCATTTACTATAATTACATTGCAGCTCAATCAGGTTTGAGGAGAGGGCATGGGAGGAGTAAAATTTTCTTTCAGTTCTGTTCCCTGTGCACATTTTGGACCTACAGCATTTTTTGAAATCTTTTGATACCTGCTCAGGGCCTGAGCTCCTTCAGCACTGTGTGACTGCACATAAAGCTTTTTTGTGGCAGGGGTTAAGGTAACCCCCTTTTTATTGCCTTGATCGCAAAGCCCTCAGCCTGCGTCAGCAAGACCTTTCCTTGGACCACGGGCACGCTGAACGAGCCACTGCTGAGTTCACGGTGTTTAGAGATGCAAACGCCTGCGTGTGACACCCAGCCTGAGTGGAAAAGACTGGGGTGTGCTGATTGTGTCATATTGCTCAATCACTGTGGCTTTGTAGTAGTGGGGCAAGCTGGGAAGAAAGCAATATGTAACTTGCCTCAGGCTCCCTCTGCAACAGGTGGGCAAGGCTCTAACCTCGGAGAGGTGTTGCTAGGATACATGGAGGAATGAGGAATTTGTTTAAAAAAAATCCCTTCGGTACCCTCTGCGTGCAGGGCTGCTGCAGCAGTTACCTGCCCAGTAGATGAAGCTGCAGTGCCTCTGTGACTGCCCAGGAGTGCTCCTTTCCCTATATCCTCGCAGCTGCACAGACCACAGAGGCATTTCTATCCCAGCACATCTTTGCTGACCAGCTCCCGGAGGGTAGGAGAAAAGGGAGGAATGCCTAAAGTACAGCTGTGCTTCCTTTGGGAAAGGGGAGGGCTCTTCTGTGTGGTGGTACAGACCTTGGGGGCATGGTGCAGGACCTGCCACAGGTTCCCCTTGCTAACCTTACCCCCCTATGAAAAAAAGGGTCAGGGCTTGTGGCTGCCCCCACCCTCTTAAATGCAAGTGTGTGTGCTAGCGCATGACGGTCTCCTCTTCTTCAGGACACTGTTAGAC